TGGAAGAACCCAAGCAAAGCATGGTTGTCTCACTGAGTTAAAAGAGAGAGATCAGAAATTGAGAAGGCCAAAATAGATGGAATTTGTAGGACCAGAGATCTAGAGTAGAAAGAGGGAATCTGTTGCTGAATAACAATATATATATGCATAGGATAAAATTCCATAAAGCCAGGCAAAAAAAAAAAAGCAAACAAAAACACTACCAGGGAACAATAAGCTGAAAAATGGCCAGAGCAAGAATTCAGAGTTTCAACCACTAAGACATTCAGTAGAGACCCAAAAAGAATCATGCCTTTTTAGTAGGGTTGAGTAGATTCAAGAGTAAGGGCTACTCTGCACTTACCCAAACAAAGCTCAAAAACAAGTCTCAAAAGATTAAGCTCATCTACAAGTTACTTAACACTCTTTAAAAGAAGAAAACAAAATCCAGACTCAAAAAAAAAGAAAAATTCACAATGTACAACATCAAATAAAAAACTACCACAAATGGAAAGAAACAGGAAAATCTGACCCAAACCAAGAAAAAGACCAAGTAAAAGAAATAGACCCAAAAATGACAGAAATTATGGAATTAGCAAAAAAATATCTTTCAAACAGCTATTATAATATACCCCAGGAATGTAAAGAAAAACAAATATAGTGACAAGAAATTAGGAGATATACATATATATATGGAAATTCAGAACTATACAAAGGATATATGACAGATAAGTAAATAAGTAAGTAAACAGAAAATAATTTTATTTATTTTTAAATTTTTATAAAATATAATTGACTTTTTAAAACTAAAACAATAACAATGTATTAGGCAGTTTATAACATACAGAGAAATAAAGTGCATTTAAAAAATAGGACAAAGGATGGAAGGAGACAATGGAAATAAACTATTGTAAGGGCCTTGTATTATACAAAAATGGTATAATATTATTTGAAGGTGTACTCTGACAAATTAAAGAAGAATTTTGTAAATGCTAGCACAACCACTAAATAAAACAGAGTATAACTAATAAATAATTAGTACAGATCAAATGAAATACTATAAAACACTTGCTTAATCTAAAAGACAAAAAAGAAAGATAAAAGGGATAAAAAAATAAAATAGAAAAATAGCAAGATGGTAGACTTAAATTGAAAGATACTAATAATTACATTAAATATAAATGATCCAGACAAGAGGTTGTCAAACTATGGCCACTAACTGTTTTATAAATAAAGTCTTACTGGAATATACTCATTCATTAATGTATTATCTATGTCAGCTTTCACACTACAATAGCAGAAGTGAATAGCTGAGACAGACAGACTGCATGTCTTCTAAAGCTGAAAATATTTACTATGTGGCCCTTTACAGAAAGTTGGTCAACCACCCTGCCCCCCATCTGGTGTTTGCAATTAAAAAAGCAAAGATTGTTACACACAATAAAAAATCAACCATAGGTGGTCTACAAGAAACATTTTATTTTTTTTATTTTTTAAAGATTTTATTTATTTATTTGACAGAGAGAGAAACAGCAAGAGATTCCCACAAGCAGGGGGAGTGGGAGAGGGAGAAGCAGGCTTCCCGCGGAGCAGGGAGCCCGATGTGGGGCTTGACCCAGGACCCTGGGATCATGACCTGAGCTGAAGGCAGATGTTTAATGACTGAGCCACCCAGGTGCCCTCTACAAGAAACATTTTAAATTCAGAAACACGTACATGTGAAAAGTGTATGGGTGGAAAAAGATTTGCCATGCAAAAACTAATCTGGGAGAAATCTGGTGACTAGGTTACAATCAGACAAAATAGACTTTGGGTCAAAGATTATTATCAGGGATAAAGAGGAATATTTGATAATAATAAAATGTTCAATATATCAGGAAGATATAACAATCTTTTCTTTTTTTGAGAGAGAGAGAGAGAGCATGCAGAGGGGGAAGGGCAGAGGGAAAGAGAGAATCATAAGCTGGCTCCATGTCCAGTGCAGAGCCTGACGCAAGACTCTATCTCACGACCCTGAGATCATGACCTGAGCCGAAATCAAGAGTCAGATGCTCAACTGAATGAGCCATCCAGGAACCCCAAGAAGATATAACAATCTTAATGTCTATATACTTAGTAATAATGTTGCAAAATAAATGAAGCAAAACCTTACAAATTAATGGGAGAAATAAGCACATTCACAATTCTAGTTGGAGATTTCAACATGATTCTATAACTGCTTAAACAAGAAGGCAGAAAATAAGTAAGACTATAGAAGACTTCAACAAAACTATTGACTGGTTTAATCTAATTGACATTTATGGAATGGTAAACCCCATAACACCAGAATATACATTCTTTTCAAGTGCACACTGAATATCACTAAGATAGACCATATGCTGGACCATAAAACAAATCTCAATAAAAGAATGAAAATCATATGAAGTATGTTTTCTCTTCATAAAACAATTAAAGTAGAAATCGATAATAAGGGCGCCTGGGTGGCTCAGTTGGTTAAGCGACTGCCTTCAGCTCAGGTCATGATCCCGGAGTTCCGGGATCGAGTCCCGCGTCTGGCTCCCGGCTCAGCGGGGAGCCTGCTTCTCCCTCTGACCCTATCCCCTCTCATGCTGTTTCTCTCTCTCTGTCAAATAAATAAAAATAAACAAAATCTTTAAAAAAAATAAAAAAATAAAAAAGATCTGGGAAATCCCCAAATATTCAGAAATTAAATAATACCTCCTAAGCCATGAGTCACAATGTAAATAAGAAGATATTATTTGGTAATGAATATACAATGTATCAAAATATATGGGATGACATTAAAGCAGTGCTTAGTGGGAAATTTACAGTGTGAAATGCTTAAAGTAGAAAAAATTCTTTAAATCAATAATCTATCTTGAGAAGCTAAAAACTAACAAACATAATGTGAATAGGAAAAAAAGGGAAACAATAAAGAGAACAGTGGGAACAGTGTAATGAAAAATGGAGAAATAACAGAAAAAATAATTTAAACCAACAGCTTGTTCTTTGAAAAGATCAGTAAAATTAACAAACGCCTCACTAGCATGATCAAGAAAAAGCACAGGGATAAAAATCATATTATCATTGCAATAAATGCAGAAAAAGCATTTGACAAAATTCAACATTTGTTGATGATAAAAACTCTCAACAAAGTGGGTTTAGAGGGAACATACCTCAATATAATAAAGTCCATATATGAAAATGATAAAAAACTAAGAGCTTTCCCTATAAGATCAGGAACAAGACAAAGATATCCACTCTCACCATTTTTATTCAACAGTACTGAAAATCCTAGCCACAGTGATCAGACAAGAAAAAAAGAATAAGAGGCATCCAAATTGGTAAGGCAGATGACATGATAGTATACATAGAAAACCCACAGACTCCACCAAAAATCTATCAGAAGTGATAAAGGAATTCAGTAAAGTTGCAGAATACAGAATACCCAGAAATTGGCAATGTGTCTATACAGTAATAACAAAGTAGCAGAAAGAGAAATTAAGAAAACAATCCCAGGGATGCCTGGGTGGCTCAGTCGGTTAAGCGTCTGCCTTCTGCTCAGGTCATGATCCCAGGATCCTGGGATAGAGTCCTGCATTGGGCTCCCTGCTCAGTGGGGAGCCTGCATCTCCCTCTGCCTGCCTGCCTCTCTCTCTGACAAATAAAGAAATAAAATCTTAAAAAAAAAAAAAAGGAAAACAATCCCAGTTACAACTCCATCAAAAAGAATAAAATACCCATGAATAACCTTAACTAAGGAGGTAAAAGACCTGTACTCGAAAAACTATAAAACATTGATGAAAGAAACTGAAAACAACACAAACTGAAAGACATTCCACTCTCATGGATTGAAAGAATCACAGGACATGAGGTCAGTACCAAAAGAAATCAATTGTATTGTTATATAACAACAAATCTTTCCAAAATGAAATTAAAATATCAATACCATTTACAATAACATCAAAAAGCATTAAATATTTAGCGGTAGATTTAAAAAAAAATGGGTGCAAGACCCGTATACTGAAAAATAAACACTGGTGAAAAAATATAAAGACTTAAATAAATATACAGGTAAATTTTTCATGTATTGGAAGATAATATCTTTAAGATATCAATTCTCCCCAAATTGATCTACACATTCGATGTAATCTCTTTTTGTAGAAATTGACAAGTTTATCTTAAACTGCATACAGAAATGTAAAGGACCTAGATATTCAAAAATTATTTTGAGAAAGAAGAACAAATTTGAGAACCTAATGCTTCCTATTTTAGAATTCTACTGGAATTCAGTTGGTTAAGCGGCTGAGGCTGGGGGAATTTGACTGCGAAGGCCAATGAGAGAATGCTTTGAAGTCATGGAAATGTTCTGTGTCTTGGCTGTGGTGTTTTATATATAAACATAAATATAAAAATATATGGTGTGTGTGTATATATATATAAAAATACATGTATATATAGTAATATATATTTAAAGTAATAATTCATATATTTATAGTCATTAATAATTATGCCATTATTTATATATTTACATATTATAACTTATATGTATATATAATTGTCAATACTCTTTGAAATGTACACTTATTTTTTTTTAAGATTTTATTTTTTTACTTGAGAGAGAGAGCACAGAGGGAGAGGGAGAAGCAGACACCCACTGAGCAAGGAGCCAGATACGGGGCTCAATCCCAAGACCCTGGGATCATGACCTGAGCCGGAGGCAGATGCTTAATTAACTGAGCCACTCAGGTGCCCCTAAAATGTACATTTATAATAAATGCATTTTATCATATATAAATACCTCAATAAAATTGATTTTTTAAAAATCAAATAACCAACTTGGCAAAGAGTAAGTTATAAACCACTAATTTTTTGTTTAGCTCTTATGTGTGGTCTTATAAAACCTGAAACTTCCTTCATTTTACCATGAAAGTGTTCTAACCAAGCAATTGGTCTTTTCCTTTAGGATACTGTGTTTTTCCTCAGTAATTTTTAAAAATCTAGCAAAATAAGCTACTTACCAATATAGTTCTTCGACATGGCAACTTCTCTGACTTCAATATGGACAGAGCCTCTTGGTATCTGCACTACTTCCATGTAGCCTGGAATACAGAAGATAGCTAGTAATAAGCAGCACGTGCAGCCTTGGTCAGAAAATGAGTGTTTAGGAACCTTTCAGTAATAAGTTTCCTTGTTCTTTAAGTCTTTCTTTGACTTAGCACTTTATAAATTATGAAATATGGGCAAATTCCCCTTTGGGTTCATGAACACATATAGAATATTTTACTTTTTCTCTAAAAATATCTCAAGATAGTCTTTAAAGCCTCAACATGTATAATACTGGTTCAGGGTTTGTTTGTTTTTTCTCAACACATTGTCCTCCCATTAATGCTCTGTGGGAATTCCCATCTGAGGGAGACATGGCTAAATGAAGTCAAGTAGAAAGGGAATCATATTTCCTCAAAATATCTTACATGAATCTATATTTAATACTTAAGAGACTGAAAGCAATTTAGGGAAAAAACATAGTCTGCCTAAATAAAAAATTCAAAAAGAAGGGGGTGGGAAAAAAATCAAGCATTTTGACTATTCCCAGGACATCAGAGGTGTGAGGAAGAGTTCTCTCTACACACTCACCTCCTCTGGGCAACGAATCATTGAAGAACCCTTCAATGGCATCACATGTGCTTCCATCCCCTCCACAGACACGACATCTATCTTCCCTAGCATCGGATCCCAAAATATTATCACAACCTACATGCTGAAAACAAAGAAGAATATTCAGTATGTCATAAAGAGGAATTCTTGGAACCATAACTAACCAAATAAATATAACTTATTAATTTATTTGTTTTTCCAGTAAAGGAAATCAAAACAGGAAATATTTTCCTCTTTCCACTTTTTCCTTCACTGTCTAGTAAGTTCTTAGCTAAAATTTCTCAACATATCAGTTTAAAGGAAAAAAATTCTGATTCCCCAAGGAATATATGTCTGTATTTCCAACCTAGATTTCTTCTTCATTTATAGATACCATGCTCTAAATCTTAAAATATTATAATTTGTTGGCAATGGACTCTTACTTATACCTTCAATCAAGAAATGAAAGAATTAAGAAAAATGCCATGTTGTCCTACACACAACATTTATAACAGCAGGAATCATGACTGAGCATTATGGTTTGACCTTTCTAAACCACTGGCTCTTTTGGATATCCAATTGTTAGTGTCAAGGATTGTGGAATTCAAAACTGCATAAACCTTTAAAAATGAATACCTGTTTCCACCAGCTGAATAAAATTGCCATAAAAACAAGGATATGTAAGCATATGATCTTGGATGCTGAAATTCTACCTTTCAGTTTTGCATTTAATCATAGAAATGTGGATTTTTATACATTTTTGTTATATATTTTGGCACTTGAATTTGTATAATGATCTTTAGCCACTGATACCAGGCATGTGATCTCTGAATAAAACCTGTAGTTTTGTCTTTGCTAGCCGAAAGAATTTTAATACTGTCACAGAAATAACACACACGCACAGGATCATCAGATATATTGAGAATCAAGTAGCCTGAAAGACAGAAACTTTTGCAAGAAATTATGACACAAAACAGATAGTGTTTTTATCTCTTCTTTCTCAGTTTCTGAGACTTAGTTTTGTGCTTCTCTTTAATATAAAATAAAAACAAACAAGGAAAAAAGTTATGAGAACAGTGGTTTTTGCAGCTTTTCTTATTATGATTAGATTTACTCACAGGTCTAGGAAAATAGTATGGATTTGCTCTTATAACTCTCAACTAGTCAGGCTAATTCTCTAAAGTAAATGCTTTAATAAGGTAAAGACTAACTCTATAATGAAAACCACTTGCTTCAAAATGCTTCAGAAAGAGGCAAAGTAGGCGGAACATAGCTGTTTCACACTTTGAGGAAAATTATGCTATGAAATGTATCAAACAATCTTCCAATGAAAACATGTGGTAGCCATATGAATAAGAGCTGAATCCTTGTTCCCTCTCTCTTCCTATCATATTTGTGATCTGTTTATAAACGGAACAGAACAAAGTCCAAAATACATTCAGAGCTCTAGCAATTACTCTATACATAACTAGAACACCAAAATAAATCATATTTGCATGATGTTTGAATATGAATAGGCTATTCTACCTTTAACTATATGTACTGTTAACCTAATTTCTCTAAAATGTAGCTCTCTTTATTAAAGCTGAGCATAGTATTAATTAGGAGTGACTACCTGAGAAAAAAGACAAAAGTCTCAAAAGCCCCCCAAAAAAGGAGTAAAATTCATAATTGGAGCAACCTTGCATTCCCCATTGATACAGATATCCAGTGAATCAGCATTGCACTGAGTCCCATCAATCACTGCAGGGGCACGTTCAGTGTAGAAGTTGTAACCTTCAGCCAAGCAGTTTAATGCACAAGGTTTTACCCCACCTGGACAAATACAGCAGAAAAGAAATAAATGGAGTGGTTCTTTTAAGAAACAGTGATTCCATATTAACCACAGTAAATTTACAATTCATACAGACATCATTCCCTCACTATATACCCAGATGTTTCTTTCCTCCTTTGCTAAAATTTCGTATTTAATTTCATTGTTTGTGCAACTTGACAGAAGATCTATTGAACAGTTTTAGGTTTAAAATGTTCAGGTATTTCCAATATATATTTAACAATATATTTTAGGTCAAAAGGAATCACAGTGGAGGTACCTGAATGTTGAAAAAAATGGATGAAATAAAAACCTTTTTCAAAAACTAAGAAAATAAAATTTGTGGCTTGACACAATAACTTCATATAGCAAGTGGGAATTTCTACAACACATATCACTTGTTAACTGAAGCTGATACAAAAACTCTACTTCAAGCAAGGATATGGTAGTTGTAAAAAACAAAACAAAACAAAACAAAAAAACCCTCTAAATTTATACCTGCTTTAAACATACCATATTCCATGAATGTGTCTTTAGTGTAGAGATAAGTTTTTATGAGATAAGCAAATCAAAGGTAAAATTAATTATAGCATTAAATTTGAATAATTCTTGTTACTAAATCAAAGATAATTATATATAGCATTAAACATGAATAATTAAAATACCTAATTTTATTTTGTGAATAGAATAACTTCATCATTTTCATCTTGTCACTGAAATTTGTATTTCTTAAGGTTGATGTGAAAAATAGGCATAAATAGTAAAATTTAAAAAAACAAGCAGAGTAGTATCATAATATCATAGTATATTGGAAAGACAGCAATATATATGAATTTATTTTATTCAAAACAGTGCATGAGAAAGCTACTTATAAAATATGTAACTACTGATTGAAATTATGACTTAAAAACACTTCATGTCCAACCTTCATTTGATGAAGTTTAAAACACTTTGTTTTTATTCTAATTGTGCTGATAAAATTTCTCTTTGAAATAAAGAAGACTGTTTCAACAAAAATAAGGCAGAAAGATAAAATGACACGCTTAGTCTTAGTAGAAAGTACAAATCTCAGGGAAGGTATGTGAAATAAAAGAGACAAGCCAACTGAGTGATAGAGACAATGGTAAATTAGAGAGAACATTCCATTAAAGGAGATCATTGGTATAGTTGATTGTTGCAAAATGCAAGAAGATGGTCCAATATTGTCAGATACTGTTTTTTCATGAGAAGATGGAAACCTAGATTTTTAAAATAAAAACTCTTTTTGGTAACTCATTCAAAGTTTTCAAAAATACTGTGGAAATTAAAACATCTATGTAAGTAAAAACTGGTTGCTGAACTGCCAGTTTACCACCTCTAGCCTAAGTCCATGTTTGCTTCCATTTTCAAAGTGTACAGGCTATAGAACTTCTATATAATTTGAAATGTTATTATTAGACTTAAGTTAATGGTACCTTTTGCTCTACTGAGCACAAATATAACAAGTAATAAATAGAATAATTTCTTCCTAAACTGATAATCAAGGTATTTATATTTATTTTTTTAAGATTCTCATGAATAAAATTGCTCTAAATTTCCATGAACCTTACTGGGATTTTTTTCATTACTACCCAGTATAGTTCTTTTCCCATTTTTTATTATAGTGCTTTGGAATTTAATGTAGGTTTTTATGTATCAGGCTTTAACAAGAGAACATTAGTGTTGTTTACTCAATTTTAACATTTTTTAATTATGTAAGGTAGTATTTGATATGTAGGACATATAAATGCTATGGCTGTATTCCTTAGGCTACCATAATATGTGATGATAATAAAAATACATTTTTCCCTTTTTTATTGCGGAAGATGTATTAAGCTTCCTCAGCTACAGAGAGGTTTTTTGTTTTTTGTTTTAAAGTAGGCTCCACACCCAGCATGGAGCCCAACACAGGGCTTGAACTCATGACACTGAAATCAACACCCAAGCTGAGATCAGGAGAGTCAGACACTTAACCAACTGAGCCACCCAGGCACCCCACTCAGCTACAGTGAGTTTTCAGAAGAGGTACTGCTATTATTTTGAGAAAAGTTTTAAGATGATTCTCTAAATGGAAGGTCACATCATTACCAGTTACCTTCAGTGAAAGCTTATTATGAATTTAAGGTTAATTCACTATGCTTATAATTACCTAGATGCTAATTATTAAATCTGTAAATTTTATCAGACACTTCTTTTCCTCCTACAGTAAGACAAAATAATCCTAACCGTATATGTACCTAATAAGAGCAATTTGAAATACAAGAAGAAAAACTTACAAAAAAGAAAGCAAAGCCAAAAAACAGAGATTTTAACACATTCCTCTCAGTAACTGATAGAAGAACTATAGCAGAAAAAAATCAGAAAGAATATAAAAGATTTAAACAACACTATCAGCCAACTTGATGCAATAGATATCTATGGAACACTGTATCCAACAATTGCAGAAAACACATCCTTTTCAAGTATAGATAGAACATTACCAACATGAACAAGAAATGGTACTATAAAACAAATCTCAATTAATTTTAAAAATTTAAATCATACAGACTATTCTCTGATCATAGCAGAAATTATACATCAATAACCAAAAAAATCTAGAAAATAGCAAATACTTGGAAAGAAAAATATCATAGTTCTAAATAACCCATGGGTCAAAGAAGAAATCACAATGTAAATAAGAAAAGATTTTGAACTAAGGGAAATTTTTTATTTTATTTATTTATTT